GCGCCACCCTCGTACCTTGGCAGGGTTGGTGCACTTGAGATCATCTGGAAAATAAAACAAACAAAAAAAGAAACAGAGGAACAGCCTCACAAACCGTAAAAAGAATCAGGAGAAAGGAAAAATAGGCAAAATCCCCAGACTTTAACGTTTAGATTGGATTCGATAATAGACCTGCCACGTAAGCCACATGAATATGTGGAGGTCAAAAGCTTTTTCAGCTGAACATAGAAATAAAACGGGTGTATGCCTCTGGAATTACACCCCACTACACTGATGCTTGCATGTGGCCAGGAAATGGTGTACAGGAGGTTCTAACTGTATTGAAAAATTATTTAAAAAAATTCCATGATGACAGGGAGACAAAAAAAGTACAAAATTATCTAGTTTTTTAAAAGAGAAGCCTGAAGTCATATACTTTGCTAACACACATAGACACATTTTTAGCATTTGATTCTTGCACCTTAAATTGATCCCTCAATGCAAACAAACAAAACATCAGTGGTGGTGCTAATTTTCCTGGATCTTTACTTTTTCTTACTGCTCTGCTCTAAAGTACCACAAACACAGCAATCTAATGTGAGCTGAAGGGAGGAGATCTTTTTAAAGATTTATCTCTTTTGGCTCAGTTTGAAGAGTCCCTCCTCTCTTACAGCAACCCATATGTCTGCTCTGGCCTAATTTAGCAATTATATGTTTTTTTTTTAGAATTGGTAAAAGCATTTTAATTAGTGCCTTTACTAAAGCCTTAACACTATTACTAAAGTTTACCATTTCAGAGAAACCCTGAAATGAACAACTAAGCACAGAACCTCAGACGTTATGAGCAGTTTCGCTGTTGACTCTATTTCAAATTTAGAAATTGAAACCATAGTTTTTTTTCTAAGCCTTGGTATACCACTGATGACACTACTAGTCTACTTGACATACCTAGGTTAAACCCTGCTACAGCTTTTTGATGAAAAACATGTTTTTTAAATAGTGCAGCACAGTTATATCTGGTGGTTTACAGGTGCAATTTTCTCAAGGTTGATGTCAATCATTAATGAAAGTATTTTCCTGCCAGGTTTGAGTGACAAATAGAGGACTGGACTAATAAATTCATCCCAGACTAATTCCAAATCGTAAGGAGGGATGAGCTTGAAGATGGGAGAAAAATGATGGAGGTTACATGAATGGAGATGACCACAGAGATACAAAGCCCCCATAGTCTGTAGCTTGGACAATCTTTGCCAGGAATCTACAGAGTGAGCGTCTACCTCCCCCTACCTCAAGCTAAGAGCAAAAGAGCTGAGTCTGCTTCCCCCTTTGCTTCTCAGCAGTATTTAACGTGCATAATATGTGACTATAAACCTTTACACAGGGCAAAGGTCTTAATGGACTTACTGGGATTTACAAAGGGATTTTTACAGCCAGCATAAGTCACTTTTCCTACTCTTTGCCCCCCAACCATCCTCTACGAGCCTCTGGTTGCCCTTGAAAATGTATTTGCAATAGTCTGCAGCCTCAGTGATGAGTTAGAGATTTAAATGTTTGCGATCAGAAGGTGGTGTTACTGAGATTCTTCACTTGCCGAACAAGATGAGTTAAAGTGTTTTTTCTTGGTAATGAAAATAGAGCATTTCGCTGCAGTAAACTGAGGGACAATAAATGTCCAATCAAAGAAGGATTCCAGGAAGATGTCAGCCATACTGATTACTGATGCTATGAGGATTTTCAGAACCAAAATTTTCCACTTTTTTGTTTTTATTCTCTCTGTTCTGTCAGATTGTACGAAGCCCCCTCAGTCATGCAGGGAGCAAACATTTATAATCCAACAGAAACAAATCCCCCTCCATCAAACACAGCCCAGCTTTTAAAGCAAGCCCGGGCGCCATGGAGCAGCACTCAGGCCCTCAGAGATGCTGTGGCGTCTGCGATACAGCAACACCCTCTACCCCCCTCCCAACCACCAGAACGACCACTCAGACCCTGCTGTCCTCCCCTCTGACGCCAGCCAGACAGCCTGTCCTAACCTTCGGTTTGTTTAAGCGGCACTGAACCCTGTTGGCCCCGGACGGGGGAGGAATGGTGGGCTTTAGATAATGACCTGCCATATGCCACTCTGCCTCTGCAGCTGAGTGAGCCGTGGCTGGATCAGCCCAGGCAAAAATCTATTTGAAATTTAATTCTATTACCCTAATATGAGCTGAGCGTCCATTGTCCGGCTAAGGAACAGAGGAGTGGAGCAGAGTAGCAGGGCTAAGATGCGTGCTATCAACAGGAGCTCATTAATGTGTGTGAAGGAGCAGAGGGACAGACAGTTTGGAGCCTGTGCTTCAGGGAAAGGTGATGGGGGGGATGTTGGAGCAGTCTGAATTCAAAGAAAAGAATTGAAACTAATTTATGCTGCCATTTGCAAACTATTTCGGAGTATTTTTGGCCTCTCCAAAATACTTTTTGGCAGCATTATGATGTGGGAATGTTTTTCTTTGGAAGGGATAGGGAAACTTGTCAGAGTTAACTGAGGAGATGGATGAAGCTAAAAATAAAGTAAGGCCTTTTAAACACACTTTTTTGATTGTTATTTTTGTACAAGTTATAATTATGCATTATTTTCTATTAGCCTATCAAATAAAGCTCCAAAACTTTAGCATATAACACTACAATTATCCGTTGCTATATGACAAATAAAAGCAAACACAAAAAACATTTGATCTAAATCTTTTCATCTGAATGAATCTCCTTGAATCGTGATTTCCAATACCCAATATGTCATTCAATATTTCATTTAGCTGAGAAGGCCTGTTGCCTCAGATCTCCACTGGTGAAGGGAAACTCCACTGCCTTAAACGCTCTCCTTTCACTGCAACATCATCTGACAGGGTCTAATGCTTGGATGCAGAAGCCAAATGGAAGGGATTTAGGAACGGATGTTTTTTTTTTTAAGTCTGTCAACTTAGTTCTACCACACATAAATATGCCTAAACAGGCACTGGCTAAAGCATTTGGCTGGTGAAACAATGCGTCTTTGCATTGTTGAGGTTTTACAAAACAAATTTAGGCCAAGGAGGCTTTAACTCTTTATGCTGTCAGTCATCAAAGACACATTCAGCCTGTGCTAAACATGCATTCTTTATGGTACGAGTGGCTATATGTGAAAAGTAACAATTACAGGATAATAAGTGCCTATTTTCTAAATTTCTCTCCAGACAACACACAATTTGGATTCAAGGATTTATTTTAACTTTATCTGTTTCTCATTGTTTGCTTGAATGGTCAAAGTCTAAACATTGAGATAATCAGCAATACAAGGTTCTAATCAATAAAAAAATAACAGGTCAGATTACATAATGGATTTTGTAGAAAAAAGCCCCATGATCCCACTGACTTCTAGAGGGCAAATGTGAAAAAAATAATCACAGACTTCATAGCCAAAGCATGGCTTCTGAGTATATTCTTAAAGAAATTTATTTTACACCTTAGAACAAATCAAAACAAAGAAACCAGAGATAAAGATTAGGGATGTGGTACATTGGGAATGTATTGACAACTGTAGTTTACATTTTTTTTTGGTGTAAGCTCAGAGAAAAAAATGTTAATACAGTCATTATAATTGCACTTCATAAATCTAGACCGATGCCAGTATTTCTCCACAGCAAAGCTCCCCGTTCTCCTACTCTCCGGTTAATAAATTCAATTTGCCGCTGAAATTTGACTGACAAAAGAAATGCTAATATAAGACCAGAGAGCTGCTGCACTGATACAATATTTCTCACCCGCTAGAGTCCCACAAGGCAACAAAATATCGTGATAATTTAAGTGCAGTACATTCGAGGGTATCTCACAGTCATAATGAATATTTCACTGCTCTGAATCATCAAGTTAAGACTGGCCTGGGCTAAATGCATCCCCACCCAGAGCTGAAATGGAAAACAAATAAAAAAGAACGAAGCAGTCAGTCTGGTCTTTTTTCCTTTGACGCCAAAAGACAGGGCATGATTGTTTTCATTTTGTACTTGTTTGCAACATTAAAGTACCCCAAAAAGCATGATATTATTTGTTTTCAGCGGCGCTGCCAGTGCAGCTTTAAAGGAGTCAAATTACTCCGACTGCAAAAAAAACATCTAAAGCCTCCATTAAAAAAGGAGCCAGTTATCTCCTGTACATAACTCCGTCATAATGTTTATGGGACTGTTGAATCAGTGGGTCAATCTCACTGGTAATATGAAGAAAATCATAAAGTCTGAGGATTTTTGAAGAACACAAACTAAGAAGGTACAAACACACATGCACTCTGCCGCATACACGCTTCGACATACAGTGCTTCGTAAAAGTACTCCCTATGACATTTCAACAATTTGTCACTTTACAAACACAAACTTTAAAGTGTTTTATTGGGATTTTATATGACACACCAACATAAAGTAGTTTATATTGTGATGTGGATAAGAAACATTAAGATATTGTTCTGTCTTTAAAAGACATCTTAACAGTAAAGACAGGTCCCGTGTTATTAATTCAACCTTCCTATAAACCCTATTATCAGTCAGGACAGGATGGAAACAGTTATTGATAGAAAGCTAAAGGAAATATCTAAATGAATCCCATCAAATCAAGTTTCTATGTTCCCAATATATTAAAGTTGAAGCCTTACATGCAAACTGATTATCACTATAAATAAACAATTCTTATGGTGAAACAGTGGTGGCAGCTTAAGGATGTAAGGATATTATTTTCCTGTAAAGGAACAAATTGGTTATGATTTTTTACTTCTAATAGGATGCAACATTTACCATTTTTGACCCTGTTCACAATTTAGCACTACTTTATGCTGGTTATGACACATAAAACTAAATAAAAACACTGACAGTTGGGGTTGTGCAGTGAAAAAATGTAAAAATCTGGAAGGAACGTCAACACCTTTACAAGCTACTGCACATTTAAGGTTATTCCTATAACCCCATAGTAACATTCTTCACTGTAACATTTCTTTTTCTTGTATTTTTTGCAACATATTTTGTTTTAAATAAGTGTTTTGAGATTTAATGTTGGTTCCAGTGTTGGTTAGGAAAACAAAAAGAGCTCCTCTTTTAGGTTCTTACAGAACCAAAGCAGCAACTCTGCCTTGCGTCAGAACATGACAGACTGCACTTCAGCTTAAAGAGGAAAATTGAAATCATAAAAACACAAAAAGGGAAAACGATAGAATAAGATAATAAAAAAAACGTTGAGACACTTTTCCTTGTAGCAGCCAATACATATAATATACCTACAAATATATCAAACAACAAAAAATAGGTTCAAGTTTTTCAAGTTTCTTAAATATATCATATCCAAACTACCCAATTCCAAACTTCAAAGTTAACAAAATTCAAGCAGTGCAATTAATTCATCAATTATAACAGCAATAATAACTAAAATTGTACTACCCTTTTAGATTCAACCTTGTGATCCTTGGACACCCTAGAGCTGCTAGTAATATTCTTATTATTTTCAGCACACTTCTGGATGTGTGTGCTGTTACTTAGTTTTGGGTTTTAGAAGCAGCCCTAAGCGCCGGCCCTTTAAGACCATTTCAGTGACAACCTACACAGTAGCTTTATCCTTAGTATTTGGAGAGGAGAAAGAAGTGGTGTACGCACTTCATGTCAAGCTATGATTCTCATAAAAAAAAAAACTGTTTAAAAGGATAAAACAACAACTCAAAAAAACAAAAAAAACCCATTAATAATCCAAAAATCCTATTGGCAAACCACACAATGGAACATCAGGAGAATCTTGGAATCCCTTTTCCATCCCGCTGGTAGTAACTACTACCTTTTTGTGTTAGGGATCCCCACGGCCTGCTTTGAAACCAGCAAATCTAAGGTCACACAGCACAGCAACTGCTCTTCTCTAAGCTCCCACGATCCGTAAAGCAGTGGCACTCTTAACCGTCCCGTAACATTGCCGTTTTTCTTGATTTTCTTCATAAATTCACAATCCTTGATTAATTTCCTCCTCTTCTCTCTCTCCCCTCCGACCGTTCTATCTGTAAACAGGAAGGCGGATGTGTGCATGCTGGTGGTCCAAAAGCCGCGGCACAGACACAGTCTCATAGCCTTTACCGAGCATCTGCTCCTTGATGCAGGGCGGGTGGATGTCATTGATCAGATACTCCAAAGACTGCAGGCTACTGCTCAGCACTGAGGTGTTGCACAAGCTCTTGCTTGGCAAACTGCAGCACAAACCCCCACCGCTGTCAACTGCGGGGTGATGGTGGTGGTGGTGGTAATGGTGATGGTGGTGAGGATATCCCATTTCTCTGTGACCCGTTGTTGGACCTCCCGTTGAAGTGCCTAGGAGTTCCTGGGGGTTGTAGCAGTCACTGTCGGGTGTAACCAGCACACTATTCCATGGCGGTGCAAAGTACTGACCCACTGAGAAATTCCCATGCATACCCACACAGTTCAAAGGGGAAGAGCTCACTTTGTCCAGCCCACCTCCGCCGCTGGCACTGGCTGTCAGATGGAAAGGTCTGGAGGAGGAGGAAGAGGACACCTGAGCTGCCATAATCCCCCCACCAAGGACACAGGTTTCAGGCGACTTGCTGATGGCAGCCCCTCCTCCGCTGCCTCCACTGTACATGCGGAGGACGGCCTGCTGTTGCTGCTGCTGTTGATGTTGTTGCTGTTGCTGTTTCTGCCACAGGATATAGTCCATACCCTCTGTGTATACGCCACTTTTCATTACCTCTGCGCTTTGAGTGGGTAGCCCCGATCCTGTGTACACCATGTTAGCCTGAGGAGCCATGCCTACAACGTAGCCTCCACCAGAGGCGCTTGAACCAACCCCCATGACTGCTGTGACGTGCTTGGAGGGGCTGGAATTTGTTGGTGCGGTAGAAGTCCCCTGACACACCTGCTGCAGGGCCTGAGCCTGGCAGTGTTGGTTGATCTGATAGATGATACTTTGGATGGAGGGGAGATTAGACTGTGCAGGCAGGGACAGGCCTCGGCCCCCTGTTACAGGAATCACAGAGCCAGCCACAGTGACGTTTGGGGGAACTGAGAGTCCGGGGCCTTCTGGAGGCTTTGTTGGCCCAGAGTGGTAAACCATTTGACCATGACCGCTGGCTAAAGTGCTACTATTAGGGGGTGGGTATGGAGCCACAGCAATGTGAGCAGGAGACAGTTTAGTCCGTCTGCCTTCTGAGTTCTTGAGAACACCTTTTGAAGGACCAAAGGTAGATGATGAAGATGATGATAATGATGATGAGGACTTGACTATGGCGAGAAGACCCTGGTACCCTCCTGTGTGGAGATGGGGGTAAGGGCTGTAGCGTTGCCCTGTGGTATCATATCCATTCACAGTCCGGTTAAGGTGCTTGTGCTGGGGAACCCTGATGTTTGTGGGGAAGATCTTGATGGACAGTGGGCTGTTTGCTGTCTTCTGAGCGTAAGCATCAAGTTCTGCTGCTGTTGGGTACCGAGAGGAAGGTGACGGTACCACCAGGTCACCTGAAAGAAAAAACAGATAAAAAAAAAGAAAATGAACCTTAGGATTAAATAAAAGCAGAAAAAAGGTGTAGCGAGGTTTATTTGAAACAAAAATTCCAAACTTTTGAACATTTAGGAAATTCATAAGGCCGAATTCCTAGTGGTTGTACAAGAACTTCAACTGAGCCAATGAAAGGGGTACAATGAAAACCAAATAGAGGTTTCCTCCTATCAAAACAGACATGCCTTAAAACTATATCAACATGCGTTGTCATGCATACCATTCCAATGCTTAAAAGTAATTTTTTTAGATAAAAACATCCAATAAACCATGTTCTCTTATTAGTATAAAGCAAAGAGCGACGCAGTAATGCCCCTTACCCTCCTGTTGCTGCACATTGCTGTGGTGATGGCTGAAAACATTAGCTACCCTTATACCTTGCTTCAAAATAAAACAGATGTATCAATCTGGAAATACTTCTAACTACAATTTATATATATTTTTTTATTTTTGTGTCAACTTATGGAAAGTCACCTCTTACTCATCTTGTAGGTAAAAATAGCCCCATTTACACTACCATTTTGAAACCATGCCGGGAGCTGTCCGAGCATGGTAACCAAGATAACTGCTGATTGTAAATGGAACTGGACTGTGTCAGACTCAACCGAACAGCACTAAATCTAGTACTAGTTCAACAGTAGGGGTCGGCACGGTTCAGTTCAGGCTTGGTTCTCTGATAACAAAGAGCGCATGAATAGACCGCGTCACCTCCTTACAGTCAGCTTCCAGTAGTTGGCAGTAATGCACATCTGTAAGTAACTTGCCAATCAATAATCGAAAACTGCTCAATCTTCTTTGTCGTATCCACTTCCCAAAAGCGGACTCTGTCAAGTAAATTCACCAAAGGTTGCCTTCTTTGTCTGACTCTCCGCAAAAAACGAAATATCAATGTTATGGGCGCCGCCATGTTGATTTGCTTGATTCCCTCTAGATAGCAGTAGTACCATAGATCGTCACTAGGAAGCGAGGAACTGTGCTAGCGTGATGTGTAAATGGTCGTAAGGAACTAAGCTCGGCACAGCTAACTGATCCAAGCTCGGTCCGAACTCGGCACGGATCGGTTTCAGACGGGTAGTGTAAATGGGGAAAATGTTTTAAACTACTGTTTGCCAGCGGATAATAGCAGGTTTATAATTTTTTTGAAAGAGAAAGTTACAGTATAAATAGCTAAATAGAAAATAAAAGTTAAAAACCTTGAAAATTAAACTTTTTAACTTTTACTTTTTAAGCAAAACCAATTAGACTTTGTTGCACATTTTGGGTTATCACTTTCTTCTGTGATAATTTATCACTTTCTGACTGTCATCATTTTTAGTAAAGATTATGATGGAATCTTAGACTCAAAGTAGCTAATTTCTGGTTGGAATCATAGAAAAAGGAAATTTGTGAGGCATGAATCATCATATTGTGTTAATTACAGATTTTTAAAAAGCAGGTGCACAAGCAACCACTAGGCTGCAAAGTTTATGAGGTGCAGCATGTTTTACGAGTTTTCAGATCACCATCTCTAGAATTTTATTTGGCAGTGCGTAGTTGAATAAAACCAAGCCGATACACTTTAATAGAACCCAAACATAGTTAGAAAGCTGTATATGCGGACCGGTATTCATCCATCTGCTTTTCTGCTCAGAGCCTTCTTTCCATCTCATTTTCTCACCCAGATGTGGATGAACATCCCTAGACAAATGAATCTTTTTAAAAACTCATTCTGTCAGAGCCTGCTACCTTAGGCGCTGTTAAATCAGTGCATTGTGAAATTAATTCGGACTCTCTTCAGCTCTGAATTGGGTTAGCCTTGGTACCAGGCACTGAGGGAGGAAAGGGGAGGGAATAAAAGCTTGTTTAATTGAAGTGGCACATTTTAGATTTATAAGTGGAATCACTTACTGGGTCTTACCCTTGGCGACTGAATTTTCAAATTCATTCAATCTAGCAGAACTGGGCAGTGAGACCCCACAAAGAACCAATTAAAGGTCAACTGGGAATTAAAAGCTTGGTTAAGATAGATTTAACAAAATAGAGCCCTATAACAAATGCTCAAGAGATGCTTTTGGCATAAAAAAGCATAGATTTAATTTTTAAAATAGAAATAGATTGTTATGTGAAAAAATTGTACACCTACCTAAATGCTCAGCCTTTTACAATATATTTTAACTAAATACTTTCAAATTAACTGATTATTGATGAGATTAAATATCTTATCAATAATGTTCATCTGAACTGTGAAAGAATCTTGACACCCTATGCCTATTATCTGGTGTTGCAACATTAAGACACTGCTTGTAGCAATACCAAAGTCTGACATCGTTTACTTTCAGCTGTGAGATGTTTGTTTGGGATCCACAGCCCATTTCAAGGCATTTTAGGCAGTTTCCATTCACTGTAGCTTCATTGGTTCAGTTTTGTTCAGGATTAAACCTTTTTGTTTGTACAAATAGCCTCACATTTTTCTCAATCAAGCTCTGATAAACAAAATGATTCTGCAATGGTGAGCTGACCAGATGCTGCTACAGCAAAGCATTCCTAAAAGATGCCACTCTCACCCCCATGCTTTACAAGTGGTATTGGGTATTTTCTTATTTTAAAATAGTTCCTTAATTTCACAAACAATGAGTGCAGACGACCAGAGATTTTAGATGTATACTCATTTGTTGCAAGAACATTATTCTGGAGGTCCTGGTCTTTGTCTCTGCTCTTTATGGCAAACTTTAATCGTAATGCTTTTTTTGAGAGTCAAGGTTTCTGCACATCTCATGAAAGTAAGATTTGTGCAGTTTTTTCCTGGTGGTATGGGTGTAAACCTCTTGTCCATTGAAGACATTTGAAGGTCATTGGAGACTCTAGAAGTCTGCTTCCAGATCATGCTCCCTTGAAGGCCAGACTTTTTCATATTGGTAGTTTCTATAAATTACCTTCAGTGAATTATTTTTTTTTTTTTTATATCAATCCAGATTCTGCATCAGATTCTCCAGATCCTCTCACCACCACAGTCAAGAAAACACAGTAGAAAGTGTCTGCATTCAGAACAAATGTAAATCACCAAACAGAATGACACATACCAGTGTTCCTTCATGTGGAGGTGATGCGAAAAGCCATTTCAAACATTTTAAGTTGAATAAATGAAGCACCTCTCCCAATTGCTTTATTAACAGCCATTCAATTTTTATTACATTTATAGAAGATATTTAGTGATTTTAAGCTTTTAGAATCTGTCAAATTAAATAAGAAAATACTAGGTTTTCATACTCGCAAATGCACAAATGTATCCGCTGCCAGAGCTTGTTCTTATTTCTTCATATGACTGTACTTTGGTTGTGGTTAATAAAGATTCATGCATACAGAAATCTTACTGTTTCAATTATAAGCACCGAGAAGCATAAAAATGACTTAACTATGTATTTGAGATTAACTTTAAAATATGAGCCTGAGAACATTTTAATATATATATATATGATATTAAGGACTTTTGCTTTAAATCTTTATGTAAATGTTCAGCAATATTTGAGCTAATTCTACAATTGTATCCAACTCCGGGGGTTCAGAGAAGACGAAGAAGAGTTCTTGGTCTGTGGACCAATACTTGGCCACGGCACGATGAGGTGCAGAACAGGAGAAATGGAATTTATGAAAAGCCTACCACGTGTCATTGTCTGGGGCCTGGGTGTGGAGGTGAGGGGCTGTGGTGAGATTGGATTTAAATGACATTATTCAGGCAATTTCATGGCTACTTAGCTCAGTGTAACAAAAAGCATGGGGGGTTGGGAGAAGGACTCAATTTACAAACAATATATCAGCTGCCACAAATGACTTGCAACCCGTTCAAAAATGATATTTCGATGCAAGAAATGCACAAAAATGAACCTCCGTTAGAACAGTCAGCAAATTTCCTGGCCACCTGAGGCGTCTGTGACTGGGATGCAGTCCATTTCCTTTCCAATCGTAAAACCACTTTAAAGAAACTCCACAGCCAAGTAGTCACAATTCTCATTTCTATGCTCCCATTACAGATATCATGGGGAGTTCATTTCAACAACCCTTTGGGACTCCAACTGTGAAAATGATTAAATCTACAAGATCCATATCATAAAAAGAAATAAATTAGGAGCTGAATGCTGAAGGGCAAGAGTGTGAATATTTAAACTAAATTTGGAGGCAGATTGGTCGGGTGGGTTCATCAAACACGCTTATTTCCCTTTTAAATAAAAAACATTCTCAGAAGCAATTATTGTCTGCAGCTCTTCACTGGTTGCATGCAAATGTAGCCACTTGTTAGAAAGCCCATACTGCGGATAAGCTGTGATCCAACATAGAATAAGGAAGAACCCGTGCCAGAATCAACAACTGCTACTCTTACAATGTCCTTCCAGCTAAAACAGTGTCTGTGCCAATATTTTACAAGTCAAACTAAGATAGGGACTTTGGGGCATCAGCAGGAGTCCAGTTTAGATTGAGATGGAGAAAACAGACCAATTTTGGCTCACAGTAAGGTCGTCAATTCAATTTAGTTCAATTCACAGCTTATTCATAAACTCAAAACACACATGTAATCTCAAGGCACTTTGAAGAGACAATTCAATAAAATTTTTTAGTTTTCTATTTAAGGAAAACCAGCTGACTGCATCGATTCATCAACTTTGCAGGACATGCTTTTGCAACCATCTACTGTGACTGTATCCATGTGCCAACAGTAGACGATCGCTTAAGTTGTGTGTGTGTGCGATTGACAACAATCCTCACACCGAGCATGCATGCAGTGACAGCAGAGAGGAAAAGCTCTTTTTTAACATAAAAAAAAACTCTAGCAGAACCAGGCTCAGTGTGAGCAGCCATCAGCTGAGGATGACCAGGGGTTCAAGAGATTGAAAGCAGACAGAGCATAGAAACACTGATCTATAAACACTTTCTATGATAAAAAAATGAACTAGCTCCATAGGTGTCTCTGTCTATAAAATAATCAGTG